ATGAGTTCAAAGATAGAGAAGAAGGAGACGTTTCGATTACCGGGATCGTAATTTTACTCGTGTGAGCTTTCGAGCTCTTTCTGGAGGCCATCGTCAGGGATAAAAGGCGTCAATGAAGGACAATCGACAGTTATAGGAAGCAGGGGCCAATCAACCGTTATAGGGGGAGGAGACGCAATCAACCACCAGTGCCCTCAATCCGCAGATGCCTCCGTAGGGCAAGCTATGCCGGCGCCAGATCGATAAACAGATTGACTGAGTTCTTATCCAAGGCTCAAAAGCTCAGACGAGTAAAATTATGATTCCGATGACCGAAACGCCTTCTCCGTTTCTATTGAACACATATCTGTGATGCAAAGCTTTACCTCAATTCGTGAGTTCAAAAATTCAGACAGTTGCATGTGCATACTCTCTGTTAGTTCGAAAAAAATTTCGTTCTAATTCCACCAGATTCCTGGTCTCCGACAAGTATCCTGAAGCGCAGTTTTATTCTTATGTATTAAGTCTGAGCCGAGGCTTATAGTGGTTGTGGAGTAGAGAGCCAGTCGGTCGAGTTCCATTGTTTCCTTAGTCAGGTATTCGCCGGGTGACCTTAGCTTCTCTTACGACAATCACTTTTTAAGCACGGAGGGTCACTTAAGAGGTGCAAACGGTTAGCTAGTTTATTGCTGAACGCAGTCGAAACTAAGAGTTCAATACGAGAGCTGAAGCAATATCTGAGGACGGGCAAACGATTCCACAATTTCGGGCTTTAAACGCGAATGTCGTCTAATATAACTTCATAGAGTGCTGAAGTTCAAGCAACTGTTGCAAGCAGTAATTATGAACTGTATTCAGTAATGATGATAGAGTGGTGTTGGGGTAGAAGATATATTTAAGCAGAGATTGTATTTGCATTCCAGTCTAACCACTCCAGTCTAGCGTCAACTTGACATCACTGTAATGATAGTGAAAAAGACGACAGAGCGCAATTCAACTGACATTCTGCCGGCGTGCCAGTCACGCATAGGCAAATTTTGCATCGTGTCAATGACGCAACATTTTTATGAGCCTTCCTAACTTCTGGAAGCTGATGTTGTTGGTTCAGTATGACAAACCAATTTCCTTAACATCTGCTCACAGGTATTACGCTCAAAATATTCCAGCATCTCAAGTAAAAAAACAACTGATAGCACCTGCCCTATATTGCCTTGGAGGCTAAGTCACCTCTAGAATCACGATAACTAAGGAATCTCTATAAAGCTGCCAATTTTAAAGGAAAGAGACCCAACACATCAACAACTTCAGAAGTGTACCATTTTTCTGCAAGCCTAGGTGAAGATTTAAATTCACCCAGTAGGCCCTGTCAGTAAATTTTCATGGACAACCGTGCAGACATAAAATCACTTCGTTTTTCCATCTAGTGTTTTCTTTATTGCAAAGATGGCAATTTATTTTTGAAGAAATAACAAACGGATTGTCAAGTGCAGTAATTCTTCGGGAGTACCAGAAATAATGGAGTAAATGGGGTTTTAAACCAGTAAAAAGGCAAACAATTAAAAGCGCACATAACGCATCCATCAGTTTTTAGGAGTTGTGTGCCAGTTACAAACCATAAAATTTAGTGTGCAATGCTTGGCTATTTGCAATGCACAAACTCACGCAACGACATTCTGAAATGTATATAAGAGCCGGAGAACTTCAGCATCGATTCCACAAGCAAAGCGATTTGTCGCCAGGCCGTTTTTAAGCATACTACTTATTTTTGTACCATTATAGCCTTAACGTTCGCAACTTTGTCATTTTCCTGCAATATTGGTATGTTGTAGAGTGTAAGGTCGGAAACAGCCGGTGATGTAGCAGCCGCTTCAATGTCCGCTTCTTCAATTCCCTATGTTCAGTACACTGCCGCGACCATTTTGCCAACCCCATCTGTTTACCTTTTTTGGAAACTTGGAATCAGTATCACCGGCATCCTCTTAGGTGGACGGCTCA